CAAATTCCTAAAAGGAAAAAGGAGGAGAAAAAAATGAAGAGGAAAAATCTAGACTTGACATAAATAAAAATGCACTTTGTTTCATTTAAACATCTTAGTCAAAATAATGGGTTTAAGGCTCCAGGCGAATGGCGTACCACCAATTGTTTGATATTCGCATGCCGTGTTTTTTGTTCTTGGCGACTCCGGGCAGACATAACAATCTTTAAGTTGTGTTATTGAACAGGAAACCGATATTCCAAGTCTCAAAACAACGGGGCTAGGTGTAATTTGAGAAGAAAGGCTATTGTGTACAGTCTGCGCTCGATTCCAAATGATAACAGCGGATGTAAAGTTTCCAAAGCGAATCCAACCATCAAGTTAGAGTTACAGACACTCGCACGTTGTAGTAGTTATTTCAATTTCTTTCAAAAAGAGTATATTTTACAGAAAATCTGACATGCTAAAAATAGCTTCGGGTGAGAGCTTATATAATTCAAGTGGCTCTGTTTTTAGACAACTGCTGAGAGGCCAAATATAAATCCGAAAACGGGAATGACTAAACAACTTTAACCGTAAACCTCTTTTAGAAAACAGTGAGTTGAGTACATGAACTTGCAAATTTCCTTCTAATTCTCACGAAAATACGCTAAACCGGTTTTAATGACCATTTGGAGTTGAACGACTTTAACAAAGTGTTATATCCTAAGGGTGCATGAATTATAAATCAAAATGATGCAGATAGAAAGAGTGGTGAATATTTTTAAATCAAGGAGTGTTGTCATCCAAAGGAACACGAAATCTACGTTTCATTACGGAACTTTCTTAAAAAATCAAATCCGTTTTTTTATTCTTCAAATACAAAATTCTATACTTGATGTTTAAGGCTAAGTGGATTTTGTGTACAATATCTTCGATGTCGATTTCGTCTTGTAAATTACTAAGTTTTCGACTGAAGCTAACTTCTTATCAGATTCTCGAAAATTTTGATCGTGTTTTTACATAATCCTACAGCAGATGTATAGCGGCATTACTTTAATACCACAGAGCCAAATATTGACAATCTAAATATTCCAGACAAGAATAATTAGGCAATTGAGACGAATATGCTTACGGCGTGAGATAAAATTGAGATAACATAAAAGCAATTTTCCGCCGTGTGGTCATGGATCAGTGAAAGTTTGATTAATTACTTAGAGAGCTTTTTTTTGTTCATAAAAATGTTATGTCCGGCGGACAGTGTATTAAGACGAAAAAAAACCCTCAAAATTATTTCTGCATGTGTCTTGCATTCATGATTTTCTCGGAAGCAGTTGAATAGAAAACGCGCGTGACCGCGGACGTTATTTCGCGTTAACGCTACTTGACGTGACAATGATTGCACGAGAAAAATTATCAAATTTGGAACCGACGTCTGAAGTGGCACTTCGAAAAAATCAAATCTATTTTTATTATATGGTAAACCATATTCATATTTGCTATCTCCGACATATCGTTCGTCTATTTCAACGAAAAAGTGGGGCTATGTTGGAATAATAATGAAAATAAATTTGTATTTTTTTTTCCTCACTCGATTCATAGCACGCATCGATCTTTTCACAATCGCTTAAAAAAAAATGCAGGAAGCTACGCATAAGGAAATTATGAATTATTTTCCGAGTCGTCGTATCAAAGTTTGGTCGAGATAATTAAAATAAAGCGAACAGCTGCGGGCAGGTGCTTATGTCAGAGTTTCGAAAATTAACATGCCACATGTGCGACACAAGGTGCATCAGAAATGTCTGTGCCATACATTATCGTTATCTTGAGTCTGAATGTGCTGCAATATATTTGGAAAGTTCGCTCACGAAATCGAATAGATACCTTCTAATTTTTTATTATCTAATTTTTTGTGAGTAAGTAGAATAGGTGTTACTCAATGTTCCTTGCAGATAACCTCCCCTTCGACCACAAAATGTAAACTGTGTGAAAATTCAATTGTTTTAAAACTTAAAGGACTCAATTGCAGCTAATATGACACTTCAGTATCAGTTGACCAGTAAAGACCTTGTTCCACAAGCAAATGTTATTACTATCCACTAGAACGGGGAATTGATGAGATTTTTATCGAAAGGGTTTGTAAATGAACACTACCCCACCTCCTGCTGAAAGAAACTTCGGCAGGAAGCTGTAGATTTTTGCAAGGAAAGGTGTGTCGAACTTTATCGCAGTTTTTGTAGCATAAAGGAAGCGAGTTTGTTGCTTCCTCCTCCCCCCATGGAACACTTAGTCAATCGCAAGATACCCTCTCCCTCCCCCCACGTACAGACACACACACACCCGCACACACACACAACAAGCTAACGGTTTACTCTTATACGAGGGTTGCAATGGGGTTAAACGATAGCCGTAAAACGGCCAAAAAAATTCGGCCGTTAGGCGTAAAAGTTGACAAATACCAACCGTTAGCCGTAAACCGACCAAACTATTAACCGTTAGCCGTAAATGGCATCACCCTTCAATACCACTGAAGGGTTAAGAGAGGCAATGTTTCGCACAAGAACACAACGCAAATAATATGTTCCAAAAGGGTCTGAATCTTAAGAAACTGTGGTGCTGCGTCGGTGAGGGTATTAGAAGATAATTTGGTCTGATCAACTAAGTTGATGATGTAAATTGGCTACCGTAAGGATTTTCAAGCGCTAGCCCATTGTCAGAGCAAAGGACGAGGGGCTGACACTCGAAAAAAATGTTAAAAGCCAAAGCAGAGCTCAATAAGGTCACTGCTTGCCTCACTCTACAAAATAAAATCAAGATCTAATTTTCTCAAATTGCAAGGAAGATGTTACACATGGATATCTTGCATTGCAACAGTGCATCACATTAGAACTTGCTCCTAAATAAGGATTAGCTTTAGTGCTCTTCGTCTGGTAAAAGAAGTTTGTTTGCACAGTGGTTGTCTCCCCCCTTAAATAACCCAGCACATAAAATCTGTGGCAGAATGCGAGCCTGGACATTTCCCTCAGTTACCCCAGTCTCTCCTTCCCACCAGAAGGAATTCCTGGCTCAATAATTTCCTTTTTTTTTTTCAGTTTGGACCGTGGGGAGGTCGTCTTCGACAAGCAAGGATTTTTCTTTCGTCATGCGTCATATTCATACTTCTAGGACAATGGTTAGTTCCCCACAAACATTATAAACTGTTTTCTCGAGGTAGAAATTACGTGAGAAACATCTTGAGAAGATCAGTATTTCATATGCATAAGCTCATTGATCCGACCGCAAAATGAAGCAACAAAGAAGCTGATATCTAACGGTTTTAAAAGAAAAGAAGAAATTTTTCTCATACCACTTTTTTTGAAAAAAGAAAAAAAAAAAGACCCTAGATAGAATTGGTCGTTTTTTTTTCCCTCTCGGGAACGCTATTGATGGGGAATCGGCACTCGCGCGACTTCACGCAACACACACGCGCTCACTTGCGCCCATGAGAGAATTCTTCCCGCATGGTCCGCGAACTATAAGATTTCGTACATTTGTTACTGTTTAATTCGTAGAACAGACGTTGTAGTGGCTATAACTGAGTGTGTTACGGCGTATTAAAGCCTGTCTCATCAACGAGCTCGTCTAGTCGTCCCGGAGAACAAATGACTCAGTTCTACGTTTTTTGGGTTTTACTCAAGTGCTGACATGTCCCCAAGGGCATTGCTGACCAAATATTTCAATAATTCGGGCCGTTTGTGTTAACTGGATATGGATTTCACCGACACTTTTAACAATTAATAGGATTTTGGGCAGATTGAATGCAAAACTATTTTAATCAACGTCTTCACATGCTGTGTTGTTTATCCCCTCGTTTTGACGCCTCTGGAAGATTCGAAGCAATCAATCAACTTGTTTTGAAAACGTTACGGCTGGTTTTGTTTCCAGATTACTGGCAAAGCGAAAACCTGAGGGAAAATGAAGGGAAAGCTCTGTTTTTCTCTGAGAGGTGGAGAAGGGATGCGGTAAATGAAATATATATACACATACTTTGCGTTTCTTACACGACGTACAGTACTAAAGCTCCACAAAAGATTGTTCAAACAGCGTCAAGTAGTGTTATTTATATCCCGAGCATTCCAGGGTATTCTCAGCTGGCGTTTCGCAATTTGCGCTGACAAGGGCACCCTCTATATATATCCGGGTCAAATGCAAGGTTTAATTTATTTTATTTTTGGTAGACAGATTGCCTAAACATTTGAAACTGACGGGCGATTTGTCCGGAAGAATCTGTAACACGCCACCACACGCACTTGACTTTGTGACCCTATCAATGCAGAGTTCCACATTTGATATTCAGTAGATTGAGCGGCACGCTTTTAGATGTTCTCTGTACAGATTTGTGGCCGTCATTTCTGGCGTGGATCCAGGCTTTCGTCCCCCGTATTAGAGTCGAGATTGTTCCGAAGCAGATCGAAATAAAAGAACCCTTGAACCTCCTTGTGAACCCGGTAAATAGTTTCACGTATTTCTTTCTTTGTGCGGACACCGACGCACGTCAGTCGTTAAACGTTAAGTCGTGTCCGTTATTGAACCGTTATGTCCTTGAATCGTCTGAAATGTTCTCTACAACGCCCATCGCAGACGACGTACTTTAACACTGGATTCCTAGGCTAGCAAACGCAAGACAAGTGTTTTGACGCATGTGTGAGCTGTTCCAACTCCGGCAGGAGATAAATCCTATTCAAACAATCTCGCAGACGAATTAATCCAGTTAAAGCTGTCTGGAGCATCAAAGGGCAAGAAAAACGAGACAGATTGATTTCTTCGATAGAGACAAATAAGAAAACAGACGCCGCTTCTTAATTATTTTCTTTGACAACATTCTGCAAGAATCCACGCGCGACACGAGAGATCAACGCTCCACACTCGTTCTTAATCATCGGCGAGCTTAAAGGATAGGTCATGAGCCAACTTTATTCAGGCTGATTTCGGTTCTTTATACGCTTTTGGAGATAAAATAGAGCATTGAACTTGAAGTGAAATAAAAATGAGTCTTAAAATATCAGGAAAATCATCATCTGGAAAACTTTTATTATTCGTATTCAAATAAATTAAATTAAGCAGCATATACGTTATCAATTCACAACTAAATCAGTTTCAAAAAACAAATTCCAAAGCCTCTAATCTGTCCGTTCACAGATTCCCTGTATTGCAATTCCCCACCCTCCCCACTCCAAACAAGTGATACACGACCCGTGGAAAAAGAAAACGGTTTACAGAGAAGGAATAAGATAAATTGGAATTTTAACAGATTACTGACAATTTGCAATAGCCCTTTTCCCTTGACAGATTTTCATTTAGCAAGACTATTTCTGCGGCAATATTGTGAAGTCTTATTTTGTTTTGAATGGCTGTAACGATTATTTTTGCTTTAATTCTTCGATACTTCGTCTTCAAACAGTCTTAAGTACGACGAAACTACTACGAAACTTTATGAAAAGAAGCAATAACTAAGAACACGTAAAAAAAGCAAAAACAACCTAATTTACATTAACTTGTATAACGATATAAAAATAATCTTGTGTTATCAACTAAAAATCTGTATTTAATATTTGTTTTTGTTTATTCATAAAATAACATTCAATATGATTTGTACTACTATTTCAAGTTAAAAGTAAATATAAAAAATGATGCTCATGACAAGCAAATCATAAATTGCCTGAATACAAATCTCTGTCTCAAATCCTAAAATTGTACTTGCCTTCTCAGTCGAGTTTCCTTTGCATTCGTGCTCTTTTCCGAGACCAGTCCGAAATGCAACGAAGATTTTCCGATTTCCCTAGATTTTCTATCGGATTCCCTCCTAGATTATTTGCCAGATCATGAGCCTCGGCTCTTTGTCGTTTTCATCCCGTCGCTTTCGCCTCAAGTCCGCATAACCTTCGCCTGCGCTTACGAATAGAACAGGGAACGGCAGCCTGGGTTTCAAGTTCTCTACTTTAGCTGTACTTCCGGTTGTGTAATATTGCAACTGACTTCTGTCGAAAACGCTGTAGCTATCGTCTTGCCGAGGACTGTCGTAAATCACCTCCGGCGTCTTAGCCGTTTCCGGTGACTTTACAGCCCTAGAATCTGAGTCACTCAGAACTTCCAAGTAGGCTGGAGCTGCAAAGGAACCCACCTCGAGGTTTCCGGTACCGCAATCGTTTCCTGCCTTGTTTTCAACTTCCGGTAAGAAATCGCTAGGTTCATCGCCTTTAGATCCAGAAGATTCTCCGGCTGACACATTTCCGGTTTCAAAGTTACTACCGTGAGCTTCCGCAGTCGCGTGAGCATCGTTCAGTTTGACATTTTCACCAACAGATAGTACCTTATCCCTGGAAGCTGCATCTTCGCTTCCACTTCCGATTTCTGCTTGTCCGAGCGCAAAACCACTTCCAACTGTTTCATCAGTACTTGCAGATGCTTTTTCACTTTCTTGGCCTTCAGATAAAGTTACACCTTTGGAATGGGCCTGATCACTGAGAAGATTGACTGGGATTTGGGGTGGCTCCGGAACACTTGTCGTCGGATGGCTTCCAAAGCCTTTGAATTCGGATAACATTCGGGCGAAGTCGTCTACTCGGAATTCGGTTTTGCCAACAACATCGTCGGAATGAACCGAGCTCCTGAGGAGGCTGTTAGCAGACTCCTCAGTCCCTTCGAACTTGATTTTGAATGAATCCGATGAAGATGCAGTCCCTACACTTGATCTAATCTGTACACCAGTCAGAGTTTGTTGTTTATCCTCCACAAAGTTAAACTCATCATCGCTGTCGACATTTTCGTCGGACAAGTCCTCCTCATCCTCTCGGTCCGTAATTTGTCCATTAGCTCTGTCACTGTCTTTTGTAGGAGATGCTAAAACAAAACATTGGCAAAATTCCCTTTAAAATTCAATATGAAGCCCTTCCTTTTCATTTATTGATATCTTAACCACTTGCGAGAACATAGATAGTTGTAACCGTTCGGTCAACCCTTTACATCCTAACATCAGTATGCATATTCTCCATACTGTTCTTCATACATGTTCTGAAGCGCTGGCAAGGAGAATTTGCACAACAATCAAGAGGTTCTTCAGTTGATTATCATTTCCTTTATTCTCATGACCTTAATGTTTGATTCAGGGGTGACATTGAAAGGAGAAATTAGATGCTTGTAACTCTCAGGGATTAAAGGGTTGAACGACTTTTGCTTTATTTTTAAAGGGTTTTTTAGTATAACTCCATTATTTTAATCTGAAGGCTCACCAGTGCAGTGAAAAGAGGATTGACACTTACCATTACTTTGATTGGCTAAGGCCGAACCACGTGACGCGTGAGACCAGACCCCGGAGATTCCCGCGTCTGTTTGAACACAAGCATCTCTGACTTCATTCTCACGAAACAAACTCGAGTCAACTTTGTTTGTGTCGGGACCCTGTTCCGTTCCGAGGTTTGGGTTATTCTTCAGCGGGTAAAAACATCGCACACTGCTACCGTACGAGTGGAAAGCAACACAAGCTCTACCTGGAGAATGAGAAACGGACGGATCAGGGATGATGCTCCATAGCTTTTGTTAGGGAATAAGAGCAAGCAGTTTCTTACCAGACACAAGCGGTATTCCTTCCAGCTGCGGCAAAGGAAACACAAGAGTGACTCCAACACTTGTACCGACCCACAGTAAACCCTCATCGGCTGCGAGGGCTGTGGCATATACTTGGTCTAGTTTTGTCTTCTCCAGCTGAGAGTCGATATCTAGGAAGAAAAGAGCAGAAATACATATTCTTGGTTGTACGGTGGGGCGGAGGGAATTGCATCTGGTTCTCTACCCATTCTCCACTCCAGAAAAATGCCAGGGAAACACTGCTCATTCTCATTCCCTCTTTAAAACCGTTTCGAAGCTACCTTCCCTCTAATCATTACGGATGGCACTTGTGCTTCTTCAGTATGGATAGATATGTGTAGTCGCCCAGCTCACCAGACATCTAATTCAAAGTGGAGCAGTGTGCCACTACGCTTAGTTGCAATCGGGAATATATCACTACTGTGTTTGCAGTTCATTCATAAAATAAATATTGAACAAGAGGTCAACTCAACATATTTTTCAGGCAATGAATACCGAGAAGATAGTCTGCCACAAACTAACATACCATCCAAAGATACTTGAAGGTATTAAAATTTTACTTTTAATAATTTCAGGTTTAATTTTTTGTTTCAGTCTATATTTAAACTAACCCCGTTGCATATTGGTGACAGGAGAGGCGATGCTGATATCTTGCACGTGCTTCAGTGTCTCACTATGGAACAACTTGATTGACGGCTGCTTCCAGACAGACACCCACACACCCACACCGTAACAAACAAGAAGCTTGATACTCGTCTTGGGATTTTCATCGACTTCAATCACGTGCTTTGTAAAATAATTGAAAATAATGACGCTCATCCAATGGGAAATTAATGGGAAATAAGCGGTAGGCATTCCACGAGGTGGCTCTCTTGTCCACTGTTTCCAGGTCGAATTGGAAATTTGATATGTTGGTTTTGTGGAGGGAGGAAAAACTGAAGACCTAGAGAAAAACCTGACGGCCTGGGAAAAACCTGCGGGCCTGGAGAAAAACCCTCGGAGTAGGGAGGAGAACCAACAACAAACTCAACCCACATGTGGCGCCAAGTCCGAGTATCGAACCTAGGCCACCGCGGTGGGAGGCGAGTGCGCCATCCCCGCTCCCTTTCCATGCCCTTAAGGTGCATATAAATGGATAAAGAATTTTATATCGTCATCAAACTGTGTCATTTGAGTTAAAGATCACAGATTTCGAAATAAGGTAAAAATATGGGTCACAGGCGAATGCGTCATTGATGTTTACTACGACGTCACTTACCTCGAAGCTAATCACTTTTTGAATATATATTTTTCGTTTAGGATTTTTTCTCCTCTTCTAGTAGGCATCTACAAAATTAAGTTTCATTTGTCCGAAAACAATTGGCAAAAAAGAACGCGAGATTTTGGCGAAGAACAGCTCTGAATTTTAAGGAGCCATACTGGCGAGTGTGGACCACTCATCTGACCAATGACAGCGCGCGGTTTCCTCTCCTATCCAATTATATCCAAAAAATTTTGTTTGTGTGACTATCCACGTTTCATGACCTAAGAAGAACGACGAGGCCCGGTGTAGCTCTCCTCACTGGATGCAATTTTTATGAAACGTTTCTTTTTTTTCTTTTTTTTTTATATATGTCGTCATTAACAGGTACCTTGATAATCTCTTCATTGCAGTCTAAAATGAACAGCTTGCTACCACAGGAACACCAAAGATTTTCTTTCACAGCCGCCATCGCCATGACAGGAGCTTTACCGAGACCGACGGCCTTTGGTTCACTAAAGTTCCATGTGCCCGCTAAATACAAATAAAATGTAAAAAGGAAACTAAAAATCCCTTGCCAATTCTGCTATTGCCAGCATGTACGTGTTGCCTGGCTCCTACCACCTCAGAGATTCCTTTGGTTAAAAATGTTTACTTTTACTGCGCATGTTACTTCTGATGGAATTATTGGGTATGCAAGTTGATGAGGAGCAATTGTATGCACTTTTCCACAAGAGCGGTACGGCGTTCAATGTTTACATTGAACACGAGTTTTTATTTCATGGGTGATAGATGTTACAGAAAAGTGCACATAAATATACACGAACTGAAAAACATACTCTAACACTACGAAAAGCACATGACAGTCACAAAGAAGCACAATGTACACGAAATTACAGTACATTGAACCCTTTTCACCCTAACATCAGTATTGATATTCTCCTTACTGTTCTCTATTCATTTCCTAAGGTGCCATTAAAGAGGATTTGTTTAGCAATCAAGAGCCTCTTTAGTTGGTGATAATTTCTCCCTATTCTCGTGACCTTAGGGCTGATTTTGTAAGGAGAAGTAAGATAGAAGAATTCAAGGGTTCAAGAATGAATAGATACAAAACATGGGATTGACGATTCATTCGTTCATGTTACCTTGATTGCGTTTGAAAATAATAACGCTACCATCAGCCACAGCTGCAAAGATTTTCATGTTTATCGTTCTGAAAAGAATATATATATATAAAAAAAGGAAAAAATGAGAGCGAGTAAGTTGACACCAGAAATTACTGTATGAGGGCACAGTAGTGCAACGCCATGTTAAAACCTCAGTGCAATCGTCCAGTTCTAACAATTAACCCCTTTCACCCTAACATCCCTCTGCATATTCTCTACACTGTTCTCTAAACTTTTCTTTAGGTGCTGACAAGGAGAAATTATTCAACAGTCATTAGCTTCAAAATGTTGTGAACAAAATGTTGTCGAATCACGAGGATCAGCCGGTAACAATACAGACCACGCTAAACCACGAGTTTTTCAGTGCGTGACCCTTGCGTGACGAGTTGATGCGAGCAGCGTTGTCTGTAGTCTTGTCGACAACGGCAAATTGACCGATCACTGAGATTGCGACATTATTGCCAGTTGTGGTAAAATTGAAATTAACCGACAAAGAAGGACAGGAGGTTTTTAATTTTTTGCATTTCATCTTCCGAAAGCAATGCAAGCCAATCTCTGTATAAGTCAAAATATCCACAGCCCCTGACGAGATTCTCGGCAAGGACTTTCGAACCAGTCTACCAATCGTATAGAACATGCGTAACTACTATCGGCTTACTTGATTTGCAAGACTGCGTCTGGAAGTTTTACTGACATGACGTAGCGCCGTGTGGCGTCCGCCGCATTATAGATAAAAATTCTGAGGAAAAACGTGTAAGAGTGATAAAGGTCAGTGATAAGATAGACGAGTTCTAAAACTTTTCCAGGTTAGCAAAGTTGAGACAATTTATATCCATGTTAAGTTCGAAGTCAAACTTGCTGATTCGTAATTAGGAGGACTGGTACTCTCCCTAAGTGGGATGCAAGCCTACCGCAGTACCACAGGTTATGCGTCGATCGACTCAAAGCTTCAACATCTCCCTGGGCAAACCCTCCTCCCCCTCCCCCGCCCCCCTTATTTGAACTTATCTGAACTTATTTGAACTTATCTGAACCCCCATCGGGCAAAATTGTGTTCAAATGCCCCTCCCAATTTTTCATGTAAAAGACAAAATCAGCTACGGTGACTTTCTGCACATTGACCAAGCTTTAAAACCTAGACCTGGTAGACCTTTTTTATGAGCTATTTGCTCGCGAAAGTAAATTATTTACCTTAAACACCTCTAAATTTAAAGATATAACACTTGTATTCCTAAAAAGAATCGACACCGCCTGTTCAAATTCCCCACCTCCGCCCCCACCCACCGGGCATGGACGACGGCCAAATGCCCGTGGATTACTCCGGGGACGGGGGGGTTTGTTAAAGCTTCGAATTGATCGGCTTATTACCTTCTCATTAACCGGTGTAACCCGCCCACCTCTAGGAATAGGGAAACAATGCAGTTTTTGGTAAGGAATGATAAATAAGCTGAGACCTCAAACAATGAGCCAAGCCTGGCTGACAGAAGTGGCCCTTGACCGTACCTTCCTCCCTGTGTTCCTAGCCAGACCGTGGGAAAAGGAAAGCCAAACCTTCCGCTGACCGTTCCCTTGAATTTCTTCTCCTCGCCGCAGGTCCTTTCCATGTACGCACCACACAAGATATTGGACTCACACACGTGAAACGACTCTACCACCTGTGGAGGGGTGGCAAGGGAAACTTTGACTACAGACACGTGACCGGCATTATCTCCACTTCCGCAAAGGAGCCAAAGAATGTTGTAGTTGTCGTGGACACCGGGAAGAGAATCCGAAATATCTGGACAACTCACGATACATTGAATCTGTAAAGAAAAAAATTATAAAAAGAGTTGAACCTTCATCACTGGCAAAGAGCAGTCCCTCCTTATCGGCAAAGTCCGTCGCACCAGTAAAAAAAAATCAGCGAAAACCAAAACTGATGTTAGCGCGCCGAGTGGAACTTTGAGAGTGAGGCACACCCAAAGCGATAAGATCAATTTTCGATTTCACCAATTTGTTTTTACTCGCGCGACGGACTTCGCGGAAAAAGAAAGGACTCAGTACTCTTAGTCTACCTCCGTTAGAGCAATACCTTCCAAACTACATAAAGTATCCTCTGATAATATGAATACATAAAGTTATAAGCATTTAGACATGTCCCTGAAAATTTCTGTAGAGAACAAACCCACTATAAAAGTAATAGCATCAAAGAAGTAAACTCGCGAAACAGAAAATACGGACAAAAACCCCCGCAACAGAATAGGGAACCAGGAACAAACTCAACCCACATGTGATACCAACTACAGGTCTTAGAATCGAACCCAGTCACGGTGGTGGGGGAAATGCTCTTAACACTACTCTCTCTCAGCTCCTTGTAAACGTTTCCGTTGCAAGAACATGATAACGTACCTTTGCCTTCTGGTTGAGCATAAATAAATTTGAGTTATCTTTGAGGAGAGGCATGTTCCGCCTTTGAACGGCCACGCCTCCAGTTCCATCATCTTCTGGAAGATACCAACCTGGATTGTTTTCAGGGGCTAGAAAGCAACCAAACAAAAAACGAAAAACAGAGAGAATTTAGCCACATTGAAAATCATCTTAAACGTCAGAGAAACCCTTAACCCTAACATTCCACAAACATTTCGATTTAAGGAAGATAACTTCTATGTGGTGGTCTATTCAAAAAAGATTCGCTTCATGTTTTTCATAATATCTTTCTGCAAGTCAAGTTCTGGTCGCTTGGTAGAAGCACACTGGGACAAGTCACTGAGGGAGTTTCAACAAATAGCTGGTAGTAAATGCACGAAAAAAACTCGACTTACCCAGTCGCAACTTAGACGTATTAAGAGCTGTGACCCATTCCGCTTTCACTGTTGGCGAGTCTGTGCTAAAAATGTAGTTTACATTGCCATTCCTGCAAAACAATTGTACTACCAAGTAATGTATTCATCAGGATAATTGTGGTGTTCTTTCTTTCTTTCTCTTTTTTTCAGTTTAATTGAACCCGCTCTACCTAGGTAATGTGTTTGATGATATTGCTCATTCAAGTGACGCAAGGATAAATGGTCCAAATCCTGTTGAGTAATATCGGGATGACTGACCGAAAGACTGTCTGACAATCTGGATGACTGACTGATCGACTGACAGACATACGAATAACGAGGGTAAGTTTCCAAAGAAACTGCAGTGCGGCGACGGTCGGGAGGGGCGGGGGTTGGGGAGGCGGTGTAACAAGATAACTTGGTTTTATCAACTGCGTTGATAATGTCAACAGGCCACCGTAACGAGTTTCTAAAGTTGACGTCTCGAGGATGAGCCCTTCGTCAGAGCGAATGACTGACAAACAAACTGACCGACTGACTGACAGACTGACTAACTGGACGGACTGACAGACTGATTGACTGACTGAGACTGAATACCTAACCAACCAAATAAATGATTAAACGACTGAGTGAACAACCCACCCACTGATCAACAAAGTCACTGACTTACTGACCAACCGACCAAAGCGATTGCTTGCGTTCAAAAATACTAAATCAAAAGTTCTAAAAGAGCACTAAAGGTAACGAAAGAGAAAGAAGCTAAATTACCAACTGTTTTAAGCTCACTATTAGGACATTAACACGTGCGGCCAAACTCATAACTAAGATGGGCAACACGGCGTTGTACCCAGTTGTTACATAGAAATTCACAACTTTCTCCAAAAGCGATATTTTCAAGGCACCATTTTTACCAAAAATCCCCGAATTCAGTCCGAAATAATTTTACACCGTTTAGTGTTACTCTTACTTAGATGGCAATGACAACTCGAGCCAATAAAGATTGGCCAGTCGTGTTTCTTCCTCGATTGTCCTCTGCACTGCCTTGTGCCATTTCTGAACCTTTTCCATATCAAGAACCTGAAAAATTTTTACCAAAAGCAAATTACATATCTAACAGCAACTGGTGCTATACATGACTAATATCCCAACGTTTCGGAATCATTTCGTTCTCAATTCAAGCCTTTCCCCCAATTTTTATGATCCTTTTATTTTACATCAATTCACGGTCTCAAATCACACGGCCTGAAGAGAATACCTCTTTTCCAAGAGCGCGAATACGAATCTAACCTGGTATGACCGTCGTAGCGTGGACACGAGGCCAGCGATTTGACCAATGATAGCTAAGTCCTGCTGCAGGTCTTCAAAGTGTTCCCGGCAACCACTGTAAGCACTTCGATACTGACCTGTTTGGGAAATTTTGCAATTTTTTATCATTCGAAACAAATAGATTCCATTTTGCTAATTGTGTGTAATGCAAAAGATCACAAAGGACGTCAAATTGTGGTAAGAACATCACATAGACATCCTGCTGCACTCTGTGTGCCACATGACACTCACCTAAAACTACTCTAAACCTGCGAATGACTGTGAATTAATGAAAAATCATATATGTGAACTGCAGATTTCTAAATGAATACGAGAGATCTTCGCAGTAATGAACACTACTTGAGCAGCTTTATTTTCACTTCTGCTTAAATAGTGTTCGTTACTGCAAAGATCACTTCCATATTCATTTACTTACTGTGTGTCAGAAGACATTGTACCTACCTTCATTAGAGTGCTTTATCGTTGTTCTGTAGGAATTTGTCAGTATGTTAACACCCGGACCATATTCCACGATATTCACATCACTCAATGGAACATTCCACTTCAGTTTGTACTTGGCTTTTGGGTCAATAACCATGTGCATGGCACGGTCTTTCTTCCTGAAAGGGAAACGAGGTCACAGATACCAAAAATTCCAAACTGTATCATGGTAGCCAAAGAAATCAGTGACCAAAATTCCCCAAGTTCTCCAAAGTAAAACCGAAAAATTCCCCGCCGCAACAAATACAAAATAAAAACACAGGATAAGCGTCCCGCTGCTTTAATTACAAGCGTCATTTCCTGTCAGTACTCCTTTGGCTTAACGGGTTACTAAACATCTAATTTCTCAACCCCTGGATCAAACATAAAGGTCACTAGAAAAAGGAGCATAAACAGCTGCTAATTAAAGGAAGCTCTTGATCGGTAAAAAAAAATCTCCTTGTCAACTTCTAAGGAAATATATAGAGACCAGTATAGAGAATATGCCTACTGATGTTAGGGTGTAAAGGGTTGACATATTGGTCAAAAGTCGCAAAAAATCCTTTGGATCGAGGCCCAATGTAAGAAGACGAGAATTGCATTTGTTATTTTGTTGTAAAAACAAATGTTCCCTGATTCAAGATGAAATTCTATGTTTCTTTTCTAGAACTATTTCTTGACTTTTAACAACTATTAAAAATTAACGAAGCAATCAATAAAATAAATATAGGATCAAACATAGATTTTTAAAAAAATGAGGCAAAGAAAAAAGAGCAAATCAATCTATCGATCAGTTCCTTGCTGATTTGATTAACAACCAACTTTATCTGATCATTAGAATTATACATTCTCCGAGAGGAAATAAATGGTTTCAACTCTACTCGGCAATCTCTTACCCCTTAATGAGAGAAACACAAAGCAGCATGTCTGACAACATGATAATGCGTCGTTTCTTTGTCCCAAGGATTGATTCACCTTCAACATTCTGAGACGATAAAACAAAAACAAATATTGAAGACAAAACAAGGAGCAAGTGGTAGAGCTCTATCATCCCCAATTTCTAGAAAAGTACCCATCGTGTAGAGGAGAGGAAGAGGGGTGCTGAGGCGAGATAAAAAGAAAGAACTGGCGTTCTTCTCGGTAACCTACAATCGCTAGTTCAAAAAGGAAAGAGACGTACATGGAGATGCAGTCAGTCTGCGTGACTAAGACTGGCGGTTTTGTGGACGCGACAAACGTTGCGCGGCCGAGCTGCCAGAGATTGCTCGTTTTCACAGATCCTACCGCTTTGATTTTCATTGGGCTCTTAAACCACTTGGTGCACATACAACCATCGCACAAACTTTGCTGATGCCAGATATAATGCGGTTTTCTGGCTGGTGTGGAGGATCACTGCCGAATGGATATTTTCTTTCCCATTCGTCACTAAATCAAAACCTGTCTGTGGCATACATATTACTTTCACAGTTGCTCTTCACATTATTGTGAGTGGTCTCTATCTATTCCATTTTAGTGAATGCCAGAGAGAAAATTTCGTCACGGTGCCTTACAACTTTTTCAACAGCCTATATTAACACATTTACTCACACATTGTACGAAGTCGTCCTGTCTTATGAAGTACCTATTTCCAGAAGCCAAAGTCTGAAGGTCAAAGAAACAGAATAAATATCAGTTGCTGCAAAAACATACTGCAACTGTCACACTGCCTTTGATAAGTAGTGATCCCTTGTAAAAAAATCTTTAACTCAAGTAATTTCTATAAGCTATCTTTGTACCTTTTTTATTTACCCAGAAATTATCCATGCTGAGTGCACCACGATAACATAATTTTGAGTTTTTTTAAGCTCCAATTCCACTGCAATTTCAAAAGGTCCAATCTATTTCAAAATTTCCAAATTACTTCTAAGGGGTCTTGTATGCCAAGTCTCTGATATTCAATTGATAAATCATCAAAATGCCAGGTAATAGGTAATTCTGATCTTTGTTAGGGACATTTGGGTAAAGCAAACTCATTATTACTGGCAAAAATTGATGTGAACCAACCTTGTCCCGGACATCTTCTGTTAGCAATAGGGATACCAAGGATCAGTAAAATTCTGATAACTCAAACCCTTGGTTTTGGAAAATCCCTGCACTTTGAGACAAAACTGGCATCTTTTCCCCCTTCAAGTACTGTCCTTTTACCCTTGAACCTTGTATAATTCAAACCAACCTGCTTCCCTCAAAGAGGTTCCAAGTTTGGAAGAATGTTAGTATCTGAGCAACTTCCCACCTAACCCCTCCCACAACAACAATCAACTGATAACAAGTTACGGTTAATGTTGGGTTAGGAGACGGATAGGTGCACAGTTGCTCAGATACTAACTTTGATCCAGAACTTCTATTTCAACTGACCTTGTGGCTTTGTGCCACCAACCCATCCAACAGTTTCACTTTATTTCTTAGCTCAGCTTCTCTCTTCCTTTCCCTGAGACTTTCTGCCAGACACTCTAACTGAGTAAGAGCAAGCTGGAGGGGAACACGATCTGGATGGTCCCTGGGAGTCACAACCAGCAACTCCTATGAATACAGTAAAAGTGATTTGAATAAAGACTATTTCGAAATGAGCTTGAGTATAAAGAGTGGAGACCAGGTTGTTCCAAAGATGTTTACTACTATTCCAGAATAAAAAGTTAAACTTGGTTTCAATATCTCTGCCTCAGAAGGTGTACAATTATAGTAAAGTTTGAGGGAAATTCTTCTGCACAGCTATAAAAATGAACACTACCAAGGATTTCTTAACTTAGACATATTTGAAACCCAGCCCTGGCCTCCACTCTGAAAGACCTCAATTGAGTCCAAGCAAAACTTCTTTGCATTGTGATATTTCAAAACAAGCTTTACTACCTACCATATGTTTCATGTAATTTCAGCTAGGAGAGTTCAGCATTAAAATACATAAAATCTATTAATTCTCTCTGCTCATTACTTTTCTTCTTTAAAGTGAAAAACATTGTGAAGAGAAATTCTTCTTGGCCTCGCAAGTAAGTGAGAGAGATAAATGAAAATCACTAAATGTCCAGAGGAGCAGAATTCTTGGGGGAACCTGCAAATTCTTAGCACCCTATCCAGGGGGAAGTTGTAGAATGCAACCTTGTGTCTCTGGAAAGTGGAGTAATCAAGGGCCAATTTATTTGAAATGTTATTTACAGTGAGCATCATTTTATTTGATTAAATGCTAAACAATTTATAGTTTTTGTATCTATTGGCCAAATGTTGCAGATGGCATTTTGTGGGATTTTCCTTCAGTGTAAGGCAAAACTGACAGTAATAAAATATAGCCTATAAATCAAAAGAAAATTATCATCAACCCTGATGTAGCTGAATTGTGTTTTAAACAATGCATTCCTGAAAGCTTACCCCTCCTGCTGGAATATGTTTGTTGTTTCTCTATAATGTGCATGTAACCACTAACAGAGTTTTAAAGTACAGTTATACTAAACATTTTATTAACAGCAAGGTACAGCAGTTCATTACTAACCTGTAGAAGGGCCAAAATTTGTGGAAATCTATAAATTGGTCTTAACATCAAATTATGAAGGGAGAGGTGGTCAAGGCTTGACTGTCTGCGTGACTGACATATAAAAAAAAAATCAATTTTATTGGTGGGTTGAAAAGGAAAGATATATTTAACAATAGTCTTCAAATAAGGCTATCCCATCCCCTGCAAACCTTTCAATTGTGCAATAACAATTTTAATATAATTAAAGGTTTTAACCAAGACCAACTGTTGACCATGCACACTGTGGTGGAATCACATGGATGAGGGTAGTTCTGAAAAGACAAAGGACCCTCATGAACTTTCCACATTGACTGACACCACTTGACTTTTTTGATAACTTCATTTCAGTTAAGATTAAAACTTCTGTCCCTGTCTCCCTCAGCAGTCCATTTTATAACAATTTACAAATTGACGAATTCAACGGTCAGTTCCAAAATTGTAACATGGAAAAGTTCAGACAGCTGTACGTAGTATAACATTATTGCAGGAGTACTTGATACAAACATTTGTAGAATGAAAGGTAATGATCTATTTGCTTAAATATATCTTTATCAAATTGCCAATTACCAACCTTTAAAAACTGTGCAAATGCCAGATGAGTTCTACAAGCTACTTTCACTGTATCCATAGCTTTGGCAAAATTGTTCACATATCCGCTGTAAGCATCCAGGACCATGGATTTGCAAAACTGTTAAAAATAAAAACCAAGTGAGGTCAGTAAAATAAAAATACAAAAAGGAGGATTTTTAACCCTATCTTTTTAGACTTGATCCCTTTTCACCCTTGAGCCCCTAAGACTGACTAGCATCTAATTTCTCCTTACTATATCACCCCTAACTCATACTTGAAAGTCACAGGAATAGAAGAGATGATCACCAACTAAAGCAACTCTTGATTGTTAAAGAAATTCTCCCTGTCAGCCTATGTGGAAATGTATAGAGAACAGTATGGAGAATATGCATACTGATGTTAGGGTGTAAAGGGTTTAACTCTTAGTATTTGACTTTCACTCTCCCTTCCACCATCCACACATTTCAAGATATTTTTTGATTTGTCTTCTCCTGGACTGTTTGCTTGACTATTTAAAGAAATATTTTCAGTCAATCTGTGGAATCTCTAGGAGCAGGAAGCCTTGATTCTATTAGCTGTAAGCTGTGAAAAAAAATGTTACCCAAAGACTCATGATGGTTTGCTAATACTTGTCACAATTAAATTCAACATGGTGATTAGTAATATGAAATAATATTAATAACCAAAAAAATTAGAGAAGGTAATTTAATCTCACCAGAGCATACAGGATGTCGCCAACTTTCATATCTGGTGTCCAGTCTGACATCCTTGCACTCAGTGCAATATTAAACATGGCATGACACTGCAATACTCTATGTACATGTTGGAAAATGATGTCAATCTTATTTGGCTCAAGAAGATCACGCTCTCTGATGGGTAGCTCATATTGCTGTCAAAGATGCAAAAATATGCAAATAAATCAAATAATTTTTTTCCCACAGAAGTTAAGTCAAACTTTTCTTAAAGTGAATGCTAAACAGATGGAAGAGTGTTGGTATCACAAACTTCTGTAATGTAATAAATGGAATTACCCACACATTTTAATTAATTATTGGAGGACAGATGCATATGCTAACACTTGAACACCCAGGATCTGATTGTTAATTCTCCCCTCCAGTCACTACACATTTCCTTGCAAGTTAGTTACAAGAACTTGGTTCTAGATCAAGGTAACAACTTCCACCTGATAAGTTTGAGTATTCTTATCACCTGTTTGCTGGGTAATGTATGGATATTAAAGGGAGAAGTTACATGCTAATCACTGCTGGGAGTTAAAGGGTTAACAATGTCCTGCTTCTCTACTATATAAAGAAGACCAGTGTGCCATTTTTTTGTTCTTACCACATTTGGCACTGTCTGTGATCTATTACTGATCAGACACATGGCAACATGGAATCTATTATCAGCCCTTTAGAGCCTAAGAGTGACCAGCATCTGGTTTCTCCTTACAATAATACTGCTGAATTATTCATTCAAGATCATGAGAATAAAGGAAATGATCACTAACTACAGAAGCTCTTGATTGTTAAACAAATTCTCCTTTCCACCACCTTAGGGAATGTATAGATAACAGTATAGAGAATATACATACTGATGTTAGAGTGGAAAGGGCTAATTATATGACACCCATCCGCACACACAAAACCTTTTATTCAAGCAAATAGAAAGGGAGAGAGAGAGAGAGAGAGAGAGAGAGAGAGAGAGAGAGAGAGAGAGAGAGAGAGAGAGAGAAGACTTTAAAGGGCCATGCTCAATCAGGATGCATTGTGGGGGTAGTAGACATTCTCAAGATTTTCTGTATAACAAAAAATTATTAGACTAAATCTTTGCAATCTTGATCAAGAACCAGCTCTTTATAGCCTCATCTAGCGTCTATCATCTATTTGCTATGTAGATTTGTCATTTCAGTCTGTGTTCACAATAATGAAGCCACCAAGAGGTAATTGTGCACAAGCAAAAAGCCTCCATATTATATGGCTTACTATATCAATTTTGAAAGCATGAAATGAGATAAATGAAGCTTTAGGATTTGGCAAGAATATGAACAGTGGGTTTGCAAAGACCCTGCTAGACAGTATTTTGGAGCAAAGTCAAACAGAAAGTTCCTCTTGATAATTGGGTGACTGTCAGATGGGAAACATTTACAATCCATTGCAACTTTATCCCATGCAAGTGTTTGTATGACCATTCTCTCCCAATGAAATCGAATTCGGAGACACATTTCTCCAAAATTTTATTTTGGTATCCTCTATTCTTAAGACTACTTTGAAACACTGTATGTTCTAATTAAATGTGGAGCATGATGGATTTATTCATGGCAGGTGTAGCACTTCTCCTCTCACAAATCCTTTCTTGGGCGTGGTAAATGACACAAATAAAATTTCAAGTATTCGAAGGGCTTTATCTCTTTGTTATAGATTTGTTTGTCAATGGTCGATTCCCTGCTAAACCTCTCCCATTTTGCACACTATTGTGTCCAAGAATATAATTTCTGAGTCTGATATTTTAGCAGCGAATAGTGATTGTACCATGGTACAATGTAGAGTTGTTGTTTCCCATCCTACAAATTCTTCTATTTTGTTGTTGCTTCTGTTCCACAGACAGAAAACATCAATGATGTACCTCTTCTCAAGGAGTGGTTAGTCATGCTCAGGGTGATAACATCCTTTTTCTATTTTTGCCATGAAAATAGTGGCTAAAGCTACCGTCATTGTTGTATTCTTCCCCGGTTTTTTTGGTTTGTGAGAAAAAGCATCAAGTTCCCAGATAATAACAATAATAACCAGTGCGCAAAGCACACTGGAGGGAAAGAAATTTAGGAAATGAGATATGTATTACCTGCTTAGGACTCTACTCTTAGTTATTTATCCCATATAATAGAGCACAGTCTCCTTTAAAGAGCTCAGGGAATAATATGAACTTCAAGCAGAGAATAAACAATGTCCAACATCATGTGGAAAACGGTTGTTATAAGCACTTCAAACAGCACTGTATTAACTCACTTACCTTGCTAAGTTGATCCAGAAGTCTCATATAATCTGCCTCACTCTCCAGCATGAACTTCACAATTTGGTATCTTTTGATCTGGAGAACAAAAGGGAAGCTACAGAACATACCTCACATAAAGGAGAATGGCTCAGGGTTTAAACACGACTTGTGATCAAGCTCCAAATTAATGCATGATGCATTGATCTAGCAAAAAATAGAGGTGAGGTGGGATTTGAAGTTTTCCCATTTAACTTAATGATGTGTGAAATGCATATGCAAAAAAAAAAAAAGAAAAAAATATGCTGATGCTCTTTGTTGTTTACTCTGTTTGATTGCATTTAACTGCACTAAAACACCAACTGCACTGTACATACATTGTGTGATTTCAAGAAAGTAAATTTCTTTGTATACCTGCTCATTGGATAACCCTTCTGGCATGGGTGGCATGACAGGCTGCTGATAGTTTACAGAGTCTGTGATATCTGGGTCAACATAAACTGCATTTGCTTCTTCGTTTTCTATACAAGTAAAACAAAACTTACTTGTAGCAATTGCAGGGGATATTGTTAGTAGTGAAAGTGGTTCAATTTGCAGCAATGCTGAATAAAGTCAATTAATGTTCTTGCACTGTCTTGATGTGAATTATATAATGCGTATCTGGGAAAAGCATCAAAGGACAATTTCCTGAGTTTCAATCAGAGGATATCAATCTATGTTGTTATTTGGTTCTGGTTTAGAAAGCTTTCACAATTATTGTAATGATTGACACAAGCATGAACAAAATGAAAAGGGAATGTTTTGGCTTTGTATCCCACAGTTTGCAGGTCTGTGAAAGGGCCAGTAACAGAGTTTGAAACAGTCTCATTTATCCAGATAAGTTTATGTCCATGGGTACACTCCACACTGAAAATTTAAAAAAATTGGAAACTTCATAGAAACCAATACTGAAATAATGTAAAAGTAAAAATGTAAATATGCAAATTAGAATGAAGAATTGAAAAAAACTCTGAAATTTTGTTAGTTTTTTCTAATGTTTCCATTTTAGAAGTGAAAATGAAATAAAGAATAGAATTGTTGATATGAGAAGTGCCTAACTACAATTAATCAAAACTATCATTTATAACAAAATCCTCAAATGTGATTGGTTATCACCAGCCTGATTTGAGCACTTATTGGAAAGTGTAATGAGACAGCTAAAGGAACAGTTAACACATCCTGCCTGAGTACAGAACAACTCATGTGCATGCGCTGTTGTCACACATTTTGCCAAGTGAACTATTGTTTTTTTTGTTATGAAATAGTTTTGATTAATTGTAACAGGAGTTCATGTTGTCCAATTCTGTGATAACAGACTTTACTCGGTCCTATTATCATTGTTAATGTAAAAAATATCAAATTATCACAGATCTGACAAAGTTATTTTCAATATTAAAACTATCATTGTGAATCAATAAAATACAAACACATTGCACCTTTTTGTGAGTTACTGGCCAAGTATGGTATACTTGGCACTCTATTCAGTCCAAGGCAACCCTTAAATTGGGCCTTCAGTCCTGGACTGGTCAGTGATGACTTCTTCCCAGTGGAAAATGGTGAGAAGTTTGCAATTTCTGATACAAATTGAAACTGAATAAAGAGAAAAAAATTACATTGGATTCCCAAAATACTTGTGGGATGTACATGACATACAAATGAAATTTCAACTGCCCTTATACAAACTTCAGTATCTTTACATGAGGGACCATGAGCAAGGTATTATTTAGGAAATGAAAACAATGCATGGGACAAAAACATTACAAAAATTAGAACATTTTTGAGAATAGGGAAAGCATAAGCACATTCTCTCTGTTTACTTATGATATATCCTTCTTTGCTCATTCTACTAAGGAAGTGTTGGAGACGTTCTATCTCTAGTTTATGGTAGCCCGTTCATGTAATAGCTAGGTCATTAAATGATGAGTGAATTCAGTAGACAAACATCAGGGATAGAATTTGAAAAGAGAACTTTTCTTTAGAATGCTCATTCTACTAAGTAGATAGAATGTGAAAAGAGGACTTTGCTTTAGAACATAAATCAGAACTACAAATCAAAGCAAGTTACCGGTCTCTTCCGTTCCCTCATGGGACTTATTTCCACTGTATCATATGGATCCTCTTCCTCTTCCTCATCTATAAAACCATCTTGTGTTCTTATACTCCCTCCATATGTGATGTCATCTTCAGTTTCAAAGTCTGAACCCCATGGGTCGTTTTCAGAGTACTCATCACTTTCATCATCATGTGAAGGCATGACATATGCCTCTGTGGTTCAAGGAAAAGAGATGATATAGTATATGATTTGAACAAAATAAATATTTATGTCAAAAGCACAAAAGTTTAATTTATGCTGTTATTTCAAGGACATTCCAATCAAATAACAACAAAGAATATACACCATATACAGTAAGACTTGACTAAAAACCCCACCAGTCAGAAAGCAAACCAGCTTATTATTTAACATTGTATGATAATTTGGTTTTAAATACTAAAACAGTGGATGGCATTGAAGATGCACTCTGATTAGCTACTCAAACATTGAATATCCTTTGCTGTTCACCTCAGAGCAACATGCTCTGGATTTGCACCCGAAAATATTGTAATCGTTGCTAGAATAAATGAGTTAAAAACCATCTTCTTGAGCTGTATTATTCGCACTGTTTACTATATTCTAGAACAATCAGTCAACTCAGTGTCATTAGCTAACATGAATAGGTAAATATTCATCACTAGCCACCTCCACTTTGGTGAACAGTTTTTGACTGTCAACAGTGTTGGCCACCACAAAGAGTTTCTAGTTATAAAATTTGATATTTTAAGCCTTAGACCATCTTCAATGATGTGGTTGAAGATTCAAACTTATAAAGTTCTACCGAAAATCAAATTTAGGATGTCATTAGCATGACACTCAAATTTGGGGCCTCTAGATGTAAGTCCAGAACACTAAATACTCCAGAACAAGACATACCTCTGTTGACTATGACCTCATCATATGTTCCATTACTTTTCCAGCTCTGGGCAACACTGCTATCTCTTGGAACATCATCATATAGATGTTCCTGTGAACCAGACAGTGCACTACCAATTGTGTCCCGCCTTTGCACTAAAATAGGAGATGTCGATCTTTCTTTAGAAACATCAGCACCCTCTTGAGAGTAAAGAAAGTCATAAAATGATTCCACTTTTCTAACACCACCTTCAGAGGACACATCCATGAATGAGAGGACTTTGCGGCTTGTGTCCATCACATTATTTTCTACAGTCAAGCTAGGTAGCTCATCTTGGTTTGGACTTGATGTTAGCACTGGCTTGCAAATAATTTCCTCAAGTTTTTGTTCACCCGAGTCATTACTGGTCACAGAAAGCACATCACCTTCATCTGATGAACTCTTCTGATCAGCCCTTGGTTCAGCAGAGTTTGGTACTTGTGGCAAACGCCTTCTAGGTGGCTTGACAGGGTCACCTTCAGGACTGTGACTGAGTGAAGTTTTTTGTTCCATGTCATTACTAGCCCTCTTTCGAGGTTGACGTCTTGAGGGTACCTGAGGACTAGAATCATTTTCAGTTTTTGCTCCAGCAATGAATCCCTTGCCATCTTTATTCTTATTTAAATCTGCTTTCACTGGTGTCCACTGTTCCTTGCAATTTTTCAGTCTATCATTTCGTGAACCTTGATCATTGGACTCAATATCATTAGGTTTAGACAACACCTTACTAGAGTCATTTTCATTATCTGCATCTTTTCCTCCATCAGCTGTCTTTAAATTTTCAGTTTTATTTTGTCCTCTCAAATCTTTGTTTTGGGTTTGCATAGTGCCCTTGCCTTCAAAAGGTGAAGCATCACCCCTCTTTTGTACATTTTCTGCTGGAGCAGCTTCTTCATTGCTTAAATCTCCTGAAGACACCACATCATCATAAGCAATTGAATCCCTATCACTCCTGGAATCACCTTTGGTATTACTGGCCATATTCAAAAGGTATGATCTATGTGTAATCCATCATCAGTGCATCTAGAAAACCTTTCAAAATAAAATCAAGGAACAGCATTGTTCAATATTGTCCAGTCTTGTTTATGATCTAAATGATTTATTGTACCTACTGGTTAGTCTCTCCTTGCTTTTTGCAGCACTAAGACAGTGGGTGTACTGCTAATCGCTCCAAATGATGATCAGTCGTTTCCCAGTTAGACAAAACCTCATTTAGTAATAACCCTTTTTTTGCCTCATGTTGAAAGCTGTGAATCGCCATCTTAGAATCTGGATGAATCAACGGGTTTTTTTTAAAGAGATTGCAGTCCCTCTCGCTATGGATTTTCCCGGTCCAACTTCCTGTTGCGACAATTTCAATAATTATTCACGAAAACGTCAACTTTGCTTTCAACTTGACTTATCGGTGATATTGGTCATGGTGATTTTGCAAAGGTAACTCGTAGTAGGTGAGATCACAGAGATAATACATACACCGTAACACAAGTTTCGGTTACGTTCCTTGTGCAACTAAGGAATGTTACACGCAACCTCAAAAGAGACGTCTATCAAGGTTACCCACGCGATTGTCTTAACTTATTGTGAGTCATGCATGCAAAGGAACCTAACGACTTGCGACTACATTTTCTATTCCGGGGATAATTTTTTAAATTCAAACTAATAAAATTAATCAAATATTTGTTTAGCTTCTTCCTGAAACAAAAATTAAATCAAAGACCAGCCGGATTGGAAAGTCCGCCATTATGAAGCGAAGACGGTAGATCCAACCCTGCGTAACTATGATAATATGGAGCAATTATTTTCAGTCACATTTAAAATTCAACAAGGATGCATAGATTTTACCTTCACAACAAGATCTTGATTAAATTCGGCTCAAAATGACTGCCGTTCTCCTCCATAGAAGCCCCTTCTTGGGGAAAGTTTAGCTTTCAAATCAGCATTACAAAAGAGACTGGGCCTAGACCAAACGTTAATTATCACTAGGTGTGGTGAAGCGTGAGATGGGAACGGGTCCATGAAGGGGATTGTTATTTGCACCGTACAAAAATAATTTCTTTTGATGTACCTTCTTTCTTTTCTAAACTTTTGTTTGATGTAAATATGTTGTATGAAGTGGACACTCACTCGGTGAAGATGCTTGTGTGCCTTTTATCTTTAGAGGTCATAATCAAAACTTTAGGTCTCACGGGAGGACATCAAGTTGAAGTTAAGGTCGAGTCTGCCCACAAGACCGACTTGCAAAGCTGTTGTAACACATCCTATGTTTGGTAGCATGGAGCAGCAATAGCATTGGTGCTTATCCCTGGCTGGAACAATAGTCCATATACAGGTTACCTCTTGGAATTTTTCCAGGTTTTCTAGACAGTCTACTGACACCTATTAACATCGGTATGTATAATTATTTTCCTTTCCGTTTTGTATACATTTCCTGGTTCTTATTGGGAGAGTTTGTCTAAAAATCAAGACCTTCAATTGATGCTAATTTCCTTTCTTCTCATAATCTTAATGTTTGATTCAGGCGTAATACTGTAGGGGAAATAAGTTAGTAAACACATCTGGGGATCAAGGGTTTTAAAACTGCTTGGTGGAGAGGCTCCTTGAGAGGTGTTGTTCCCGAGAACACAATTCATTGACTTCACCAGAGCTTGCTCTCAGTTTGTTTGATCTAAGACCCAGTATGTTAATAAAATAGCTAGGTCACTGTATCTTCTGTTAAGAGTCCATGGTATTCAAAATAGTGGCTAGACTCAAGGCACAAATTGCTTCTTAACAGAAAGGAGGACATGAGTAGACTGGGATGGGAGCTCAGGCAAGGTTCAGTGGGCAGGGAGAAAAGGGAAAAAAGAAAAGGAGAAATGCAAACATTTCTCAATCAATGGTCTGCAGTGTCTCTAAATACTTGGGGGGAGACAGGAATCAAAGCCAAAGGCCCCAGAAGAATACAGAATAGGAAGAGAGAGATTCTTGTCCTAATCCCCAGCCTGACAAGCCATTCAAACAAAAACAAGTTATCTAAAAAGAGCATTTTAATGAGCGCCTTTTTCTGCTGTTTGTTTGATGATGTCTGTAGCTTTTTAAAAGTATAAAAGCTTAAATGTTTACAATATAAAGAAGCTTAGATTTACCATACACAAGGGTGGAAAAAGCCTCTAAGAAAATAAACCCCACAAATTCTGAATGGAGACTCCTACCAAAGAGTTGGGAGGGGAGAGTTTGGAAGTGAAAATTTACTTTATTACACACTGAAATTTTCTTCATTTCTTGAAGGAAAATTTCAACAAGGAAGTGTCTTAAAACCAGTATTTTTCATACTATTTAAAAATCATAACAAGAATTCTAGGATTCATCCCGCAAAGAAATTACTTGAATCAAGCCTTTTAACACCCCATTTGGCAAAAATCAAAGGTCTCCCATACAGAAAATAGAAGCTAGAGATGAGAATTAACAATCAGATCTTGGGAGTTAAAGGGTTAAGGAAGGGGAAAAGTATTAATGACTTGTGAGCATAAAACTAGTTCAAAGCTGTCTATTCAATTTGGGTAGAAAATGACAAACCCATTTCAGAAAAACCATAAAATGAGCGATAACTATTATGCTTAATAAAAGCTGTATGTGCCCGTGCTTCAAAATGTTACATGTGATTCACTGATATATATATATATATGTATATATATACTGTACAAGATGTGTCCAATTGTCCTGCAGTCATAAAAGTTGTGACATCTAAAGTACAGTGAGGATCAAGCTGTGACTTCGTCTTGATGATCTCCATTAGAAGTTTTCTGCCTTTTCAAAATTTCTTCACCCTCCTAAAGAACAAGCAAACCACAAGTCAAACAAAGTCAGCGACAGAAAATTTACACAAACATAGCACTCCAGTCTTTATGGCACAAAGTGTACTTCTTTGATTTGTTTTCCTCCTTGCAACAATTATTATTTATGTTTAGAGAATTAGCAATTGTATGTTTCCAAATGGTGACTGAAAAAAGTTGAGTTAAGTGCCCTTCAAAATATCAGACTTGATTTCTTTTGTTAAATCTTTTACCTCTGTGATCTAATTTTGAATTCTCTCTCATAGCTGCTATACATTGTCTTGTTCATGATTTAAGTGGTTTGATGTTATATCAGGAATACATTCTACAGCTGAAAAAATTTAATTTTGTCACATATTTGCCTTATGATGTGTTTAAACTGTGCCAAGCAGTTACTTGTCAATAACTTTTGTAGGTTGAAGGGTTAGGAGAAAATTTCTCTGATATTGGAATTGTCTTTAAAACTTCGCGAGCTCACCCATATAGAAAAGAAGGAAATTTGGAAAGGGTTTTCAGTGTAATCATCTTAGATATAGTTCAAAATATTTTTTGAAGCTTTCATCGTTTTTTAAATTTTGGATTTACGACTTAAATCATGACTTAAGTTGAATGGAGATTGTGAGTTAAGGTAAAAAAATTTACAGGACCTAAAATAAATCTCCCTGATTCTTAACCTGGCTGTTACATGTAAATTAACAATTTAGACAGCTGTATTTCCAATAGTTTTTGGGAAAGTCTGGTTATTTAATGAATGTATCAAATAACCAGACTTTTAAAAAAACAAGGAGACAAACAGCTTTTTTATTTGTTATTTATGTACCTAAGTGACCTTCAAATATGTTAAAATAATCCTCTAAAAGCAGATTTGCCAATTGAAAAAGAAAACATTTATCATTACTAAGGGATTTTTTTTGCTGAAAACAATGATATAGCTATGTAACTGAGGTGATCTAAGCAAAATTTATGACTGTGGTAAGATATGATTAATTATATTAAAAAAATAAAGGAAATCAACTCGCTGTCACTCTTTCTTGTTAAGAGCAAAATATTGTCACGAAACGTCACGATAATGTTTAAGCGTCTTAAATAAGCCCACAAACTTGACAGATGACACTTAAAAACGAACATTCCCGTTTTAATAAAATAAAGTTCTATAAGTTCACCCTTTGAAAGTTCGTTATTAACCCTTTTGGCAAACACGCGATCTCCTGAATTATTTTTTTCTATCACTCGCGCGGAACAGAATTTAGTGTCAAGTTTCTAACTAAAGCGTGGCGACCTTGTAGAAATTCAAAAGCTATTTGTCTGTTGAACTAGAACAGTAGTGACGTAAAAACAATAGACTTCCCATTTAAAGAAATAGAATCGCAGCGAAGCGTGCATCACATGCCAAAATGGCGTGACAGAGTCATAAAATGCAATATTCTGACCGGACAATGTCATTTTCGCTACTAACAGAAACCAATCGAGGCGTGGAAAATACTGGAATACACAACTCGTAAACATTACGTGCAGCGTTTTCGCGTATAGAGCCCGATTTTCTCAGCGAGCGGAAATCATTATCATAATTTAAATTTCCATGTGACAATGACAAACAGCACTTTACACGGAATTTTGTCTGAACAATCTTTTGAGCATAAAGCAGCGGTACCAGAAAATCGACTTAGGAGTCCGTAAACAAAAAAAAAACGATTTTTTTCTTACCTCGACAGTTTCTTGCATAGTTCCTTTCCGTTTCAGGTCTTGTTTGTCCTCTTCCTTTTCGCCATTCTGTTTATCAGCTTCGCTTTCTTCTATGGCAGCTTTCACCGCTTCGGTTTCCCCACGTGTTCCACCGTCAACCGTATGGCCCTCGTTTTCTAAAAACTTCTCACCTTCCTAAAAAGAAAAAATGTACCGTCGATAAGCAAAGTTCAGTACAAATTTAGCAGAAACTCTTGCTGATCTCACCGCTGCGGTAACAACCATCGTCCCATCGCGTTTGACAGCTGGTTTATCTCCAGCATTCTCCTCGCAGTTTCCGTTTGCTTCTTCTTCATCTTCCTCGTCGTCGTCTTCGCCGCTTTCCTCTTGATCGCCCTCCTCGTCAGTTTCTTTCATAGCCGCAGTCTCTGATCGCGTTTTACCGCGTTCTTCATCTCCAAGGAGATCGCTTCCCTCCTAAAAGTGTAAAACATATTCTCAAAAACAGGCCGTTTTGACTTGTGAGTTTTAAATTAGTGGAAAGGAAGCGAAACCAACCAACTATCGAACTTCATGATCTCACCTGTGCGGTCGCAGCCATAGTCGAAGTTCGTTTCAGTTTGCTAGCAGCGTCCTCTTCGTTTTCTTCAAGTTCTTTTTGTTGTGCTCTTGTTTTTGCATCTTCGTGAACCTTTCCATGTTCTTCTAGAAACTGTTCTCCCTCCTAAAGTAAGAAACAGAAATCATAATTCATCTTATTCCGGAAAACCATACGGTCAAGATTCTCAGAGGTGTTCGCGCGCTTTCGATCTTTCTCCTCACCTTAGCAGTCACAACCATGGTTGAGTCCTTCTTGAGTGCGGGTGCTTCTTCGGCCATCTAGTGGAAATGAACCGTCGAGAAGTTGTAGAAAGAAAGAATAAAGGCACAACTATAGCAACGAACAAAAGCGACAGAAGAAAGAGACAGAAATGAAAGATGCCGCACTAAAAAAAGACTTAGGTACAAAATAAACTCCAAAGCGCGGAAACGCAAAGAGCGCTTCGCATTGGCTACTTACTTGTCAACAGGCACAATGCCAACAGTTCTGATTGGTTGTTCCTTATTTGAAGTGCTTTCACGTGTTTAAAATTGGCTTTCATGGCGTTCTCCGATTTCCTGTCAAGAGCTCAAAACACACCAGACTGATTCAAGAAAATAAACGATCTTTCCCTTGACATTCGCAGACGAATGATAGATAAACCAACTTAAACCAAATATGGGGACATCAACAGATGTATTAGAAAGTACACAAATGATAACGGAGCACTTTGAATTTGAGACCTCTATGCTCAGCACCTGTGCTTGTTTTGTGTTAAACAAAGGCTAAAGGTTTCAGTTTTACAAATAGCAAAAACAAAGTTTCTGTTGTCTACCGATAAGCAGTAATGAATACAGCCATCTGGTAGACAGAGAACGCTAACGTCTGATTGGCGAAAAGAAAGTACAATAACACACGTGTGTAAAACAACTTTGGATGACGTCAAACTTGACCCTTTCAACAAACTCTAAACGGGGCTTAGGATTCATGCGTAACAGCCCGATAATACAACACTAGAGAAAGAAAAATGGTTAAGACTGAAATTAAAGGGCATTGATACAAAATTCTTGAAAAAAATTAATAAATACAATCAAAGAACCAGAAAGGAAAAAACACCCACCCAGGCAAGGATCAGTTTATAGAGGTTCGCTCCAACCTCTTTCGCGAATTCGCCCGTTCCCCGCCTTACCAGTTCTCCCCCAAATCTTCAAACTCGTTACCTAATCGCGGAACTTATTCATTTTCTTTCGAAGTCATAATGCATTTTGATCACCATGCAATATCCGGGTAAAGAAGAACTGCACTTTGAACTTTTCCGGAAATCGAAATCAGCCTCAATTTAAAATCAAACATCTTGATGGTTTCGATAAGGCCCTGGGAACAAGTCTTGAACAATAACTGCAACCAACTCAAGGATAATTTACTTATTTAGAAAACATCAGTGACGTTACCAAAATTTGTTTGTCATTCATCGTTCATGCCATATCGCAGAACTTTATTTGAATATTCCCTTTACAAGAATCAGTAATAAACGCCAAAAAACGATTGAATAAACTAGCTCTAGCTATTCACTTGTGTATCTATGATGTCTAGCATCATTAGTTAGGCTCTTACCGATAGTGCTAGCACTCTTTTTGGCATTATTTGGCTTCGCGAGCATTTTTTTTTTTACATTTTATCCCAAAAAACACTGCTAGCATTATTTTGGATTGTCGACTGATAATTTGTATAATTTTGTGTTAAAAAGCACAATCTGCCTTTATTAATGTCGTCCAAAGCCGCATTAGTCAAAGGAGCCGAGGAGGCCTGGGGATAGGTTTGATAGGTCAGCGGTTGCCTTCTGGAAACCCAGTCCATCACACTCGCTCCAAGATGGCGTCATTCACGTTGTCATCGAGGAACAATGGAAGTCAGCCAGCCAAGGCAGAGATAGCTCGAGAACGTGCTATCAATCGCTGGAAAAAATAAGACTATGAGAATATTTTATGTTTAAAAAAATCGGAAAAAAGTGAGCATTTTTATGTAACCCACGAGTACTTTTAAAAAAAATTAGCATTATTTTAGCACTTTTTTGGCAAAAAACAAGCACTGCTCTAAGCATTTAATGCTTTTTTACGAGCACTATCGGTAAGAGCCTATCATTAGTCGGTGTGAAATCGACCAAACCCCTATTCATTCCAATACAAAAGATGCTACAGAAACTAACTAATGGAGAAAGGGTGGAGTGGGAAATAGAAATTATTCCCTGAAATGTGCGCACGAACGATTTTTATTTCATGAATAATGAATAATGAATAATAAATCAAAAGGAGGGTCTTTGTTCTGAAAGAGCAGGGAGGAAGAGGCTCACCAGGAACTTTTAAAAAGTAGAAGTAGGGTGTCAGAGAAGTTAGGGGAGAGGGGAGGGTTAGTACTTATCGGATCCTGCAAGTTACCAACTGTCCTCATGGTGTGATACCCATAGGAACCCCGTGCAAATTAGCTGGCATTACAGGCAGCCACATGAAGTTGCCAAGTAGGCTCCTGGGGAAGGGCAGACAGAAGTGCACAAAATGATAATTATATATTGCGTAGTTTGCAGTTTTGTGTGCGCTCCAGCAATAAGCGGCGAAGTTGCGAAAGGCTTGAGACGGAAAGTAGTTTAAACTTCTCGGGGAAGGCAGTTGCGCGAGTCAGACAAATCACCCAAAGAAAAATGGAGGTTAGAAATTAATAGCGCACCTCGCGGAACTCTGATATTGAGGCGCAAAGAGTCAAGTTCTTCCTCGGCACTCTATTTCGATTGAGGTCTCCGTGCCCTCAAAATTAGGATTTGACGCATAAAATTCTCTCAGTTGTGCGAGGTCAAATTTTTCTGTACTCCCTTTTCGGTGCCCACTACGAGAGTTACGCGCGGTGCACTTACATCACTTTTTTTTTCTTAGTTTTTTTCACTTGCGCAACGTACTTAGCTGAAAAAGGAAGTGCGGTTCGCAGTCTAATATAAACTCGGCTTTTACCCTCTCTTAGCGCACACAAAACTGTAGGGCTTACAGAAAACCACGGGGCTGAGCAGGTTTTTCCCAGTTGCGGTTTCGTTACTCACTTGAAGCACACAAAAACCAAGTAGCACTCACAAAAACACCTGCCATACAGGCTAAAAACAAACAAAGAAAAGAAAAAAGAAATTATATAGAAATAATAATAACGTAAAAATACGAATGAAAGTCCGCATGTACTTCTGGGATTGCGCGGCTGCAGCGCGCCGTTTTAAAATGGCGGTAAACGTGTCTAGTCTTCTATATACCGCGGAGTCTTGTACACTGGTGCAAATCGCGTTTATTCTCTCTTATTGTAGTTTCTTTTCGATCGTGATAGTTCAAGAGTTATTTAAAAAGGTGAACTTATATTGCTGAATCGCAGTCATGGTCAGGGACAGGCTGAGGGATCCGTAAAACAGGTAAGGCCGACGCACTGAGTAGCAGGATGTCATGTCCCTACAACTTTTTGAAGTTACAGGGACATGTTCCTCGAAAAAAAAAACCCACTATTTTCTGTGACCAGGTCTAAAACTGGGATGGAGATGTGAAACTTGCATCAGATATTATTATTATTAAATGTATAGACATCTCAGAATGCTTCAAAACTATATGTTTAATGCAGAGTTGATAGTTGGTTTGATTGACACCAGACTACTATTGATTGGCTCGTGGTTACGCTGTATTCTTACACTTTCAACTTAAACCTATAACTTATCATTTCTTTATTTGAACTGATCAGCTCGTAGCTGAAATACAATATAACTACAAGATATGTGGATGGAACACTATACCATCAGACTTGATTTTAAGAGTAAATCAATTGAACCATTTTCATTTTGTATATTAAGATGCAATCAGAACCGAAACATCTAAACTCCCCCTCAGTAAATTAACTGAATGAGTATTAGTTGCTTATTAAGGTTAAGGGTTAGTGTTAATTATGAATTTTTATTTAAGGGGAGTCTATGATGTGTCCAAGTTCCAAATTTTTGGTATGGAAGTATTCTTATTTAGAGTGTCAATTTCTCCTTAGGAATAAAAAATGATACAAAAGTCAAGTCTGACTGATTTCAAAGGCTCAGATTAAACAAACATACATGTAGTGTTATAGTGCAAACTTAAAAACCCTATGTATACAAGCAGACCGTTACTAACCATTTAAATTAATTTTTCTCTTCAGAACACTAATCCAATCACATTCAGAAGATGTAGGTAAGAGCATTAAATGAAATACCTCTATAAATTTTTTAGCTATTTTGTCCCAAAATAACTTTTTAAATTTTGAGCTTATTAAGCTATTTAATAAACTCATATCCAAAGCTTTTATTTCTAAAATGGTTGTACTCAAGAAACTATTTTTGAAATAATTAGCTTTGATACTATTATTTCTGAAATGGTCAAACTCAAGTGATTATTCTTGAAATAAATAGCTTTGATGCTTTTATTTCTCAAATGTTCAAACTTAAGTGACTGTTTTCAAAATAAATAGCTTTGATGCAATTATTGATTTCAAATCAACAATAGCTTTCATAGAAAAGATAATTTTCATTTGATGCCTGGCCTAGAGTCTACAAAATGTGACAAGGGTAGTGTCCTGGAAATAAGACCAACAGCCAATCTCTGGGTAAAAAAAAACAAACAAGCAAAAAAACTGACGACTCCAGGTATGTAGTTTTTATATGAGCCTTACTTGTCATTAAAACATCACAGTAGCTATTATTATGGCTGAATTGCAGTTTCATTGTTTTTCTAGATATGTGTATACATGCTCTTAAATTGCTCTAAAATTAACCTAGTGCACCAAAGCTGGACACGTAAACCCCTAAAAACCCTTGCATGAGGGAAAAATGGGGACTGTGTACCCCCAACCAGTGCTAAGGTGCAACCTTTGGGGTTTTAAGGCATCTTATAAATAGTTAACTTGAAATTAACTAAACAAAGTTCTATCTGCAGTGCAACTTTAAGGAAATGTCAAAACATTTTCTGTAGTAACTGTTGCATATGTACATTCATTTGATGAACAGTAAGCTTTCAGTTATCAGGTACTCTCACAGCTAGGTTTTCATTTAATCATTTGTTGCCCAAAAAAGGGTTCACAACCCTATGCCATTTTCTATACCTTGAACTTTATAATAAGTTGGATCAATTCAATTTCTTTTCTTCAAAAGTTCAACTTCAATCATTAGTAGAGCTCTGCCTAGTACATGCCTAGAACACAAAAGTACACATTTACACACTTGTATTGATACATTGAAGGGCAAAATTCAAAAGCAAAACTA